TTTAACTTAATGGATCAAACACGTCTTCCAAAAACCACATCCGGATCCGTGCAGCCCAAACCTGCACCCTGAAAAAAAGCCACTTTGATGGTGTCCGTGTTGCTATGACAACATGCAAATCGTGTAGGATTTCCCAGAGATTGTTTTTAGAATGTTGTTCTTGCAGCAGCTCATCGGAGTCGGAGCGGACGCGAGGAAAGACGCAATCACAGCGGCTCAGCTCGATCGGCATCCACCTGCGGTCGTCACGTCCCAAAGGGAAAGGCCTCCTTTTGTTACGCGGACACTGACACACACGCGTGTGTGATGACATCATGTGGGTTTATAGGTATGAAATATGGCTTCATATGCAATCACTGCGGCTCAAGATAAGTAAACTCTTCCTTTTGTTTTTCATGGCCACTGCCCTTTGTTCTAGCTTGTTGGCGTTGCCCTTCAAGTGTGTATGTTGCCAGTGGGGCAGACAGAGCAGGCCATTGTTCCCACTTGCATCCAGGACATTGTGTGTGTGTGTGTGTGTGTGTGTACACACACAAACGCACTCACACGCTACTGCTGGTCAAGCACCCTGCCAAAAAAAACCCGTCCACCACAAGCAGTGGAGCGGATGTGTCCCAGGCCGAGGGCCCGAGGCTGGTGAAGGAGGGGGACCACACCCAGCAGCGGGAGCTGGTGGCGGTCTCGGGAGCCGAAGGGAACTCCCATGGGAAGAATAAAGTCATTGCTATTTACAGGCCCTCCTATTTAGAGCAGAACCAGGCGCCTGAGAATGTAGCTGGTAAACGACGCAGAATAAAGCAAAATGTTTACTGGAATAATCAGATTTCTGCAAGCGGCCAGAAATCACAAGAGGGTTTTGGAAGTCTGGGTAGTTCATAGATAATTGTTAGATGGTTGTGTGATTTGTACGCAAACACACCCATTTCCACTCTTGCTAACCGTGGAAAAGAATGCCGTGCTCAGCAAATATTCTCTCCCTGCAATGAGACCCACACGTGGTGCGCTTTCCAGTTAACGCTAGTTCTTTCAGTTTCTCTCCTCTGGTCTCATTCCAAGTATCCTAACAGTTAATCCATTAACACAAGTTTCACAGAAAGGTCAGATGCGGTCTTCCAACGCAGCAGTACTTCCTAAACATGTGTCCTACCTGTCCTTCTAACTCAGATGTAAACACTGACCTTCAATTTTAGCTTTGCTGAAAGTCAAAATCATATAAGAACATTTGCATTTAAAAACATAAAGCTATGTATGTATTAGGGCTGTCAATAGATAATATTAACTAATTAATCTCACATTTTGAAATGCATTAATCATGATTAAAAGTTTGTTTTTCTAAACAAACTAAACTTCATGAAGGACTAATCCCTTTATAAGGCGTGTATTTTAGATTTGATCGTGGAACATGTTGAACTAGTGATTCTTCCTGCTGTCCTCGTGCACTTTTCAATCATCATTTAACGGCTATATGCATGTGTATGTATATTAGTAGCATGTCGGTAGTTTGACTAGCTTATTTATTCATACCTAATCATGTGAAATACCACAGAAAAGTGTCTGAACTGAGACAGTTTTCTTCCAAAAGTTTGTTTAGCAAAGCGGAGCAGCGTCTAGAGAGCATGCTCCACTTTTACAAAGAGGCAAACAAATGTATAAATACAAATACATATTCACCTCTAGTCCTTTGCCATGGGGATCACCTCAATGAGTGCAGCACCGAAATATGCACCTCTGACCCCCACTACCCAGAATGCTTCAGTCATTCCCCTTAAAATATTTCGTGGAGCTCGCACATGAATACTGAAAAGCTCTGCGGGGGCGGAGGGGGGGGTGCACTGACAAGTGGTTCCTCAAAACGGCCTCGTGACGGTTTCAGGGCTTTTGGTGTGTGCGTGCACGGTCTCCGGAGGGTCTACCGTTGTGACACCGAGAAGGTGTCAAGTGTGACATTCCCCATTGGTCGCTGACATTTAGCACCTCGGTGTGCGTGTGCACGTGTGTCTGCTACCTGGGGCCCTGACCTGCTTTCCACACCCCTTTCCTCGCGCCGTCCACGGGCTTGACCCTTGAACTGATAAAGCCGCATGGCACGTGTTGGCCAGTCACACAACAACAGCATGAAAATTCCAATCCGAACGCTCTGCGTGGACGTGCTGCAGAATGTGTGATTATCTCGTGGCGCCCTCTGCTGGACAACCGTCAGTAGAACAGAAACACACTGGCAGACATTGACAGAGGGGGGATGGAGAGTGCACGGCTGATCCTTCTGTCCTTTGCACACGGATATACATACGAACGCACACAGTCAGTCGCACAACAAATCACACACACTTAATTAAGTTATGGATTTAATTAAAGTCGTGGCACTGAACAGGCATGTATGGGGAAAAAGCTAGGTCACGGGGGGGAGGGGGGCGGGACATTGTGTCTGTGTGGGGGGGGCTAGAGGTCAGGGTTTACAGACACACACTCATTGTCTCCCTTCCCCTCTGTCTGTCTCCCTCTTTCGCATCATCAACCTCACTAACCCCGTTCTCGTCCAGCCTCCCCGTCTCTCTTCATCCCTCGTCTTCAAGTACCAATATGAGCAGCACAAACGTACACACACACTCTAAAAGGCTCTCCCTGTCTCTGCTAATCCGTCTGACAAAATCCCCCCGTCCCCCCACCCCTCCCGGCTCTTAGAGTCTGCTCCACCGTCAGGTTTCAGGTATTCTGGCCCGTACGACATAAGCGTGTGGTTGGTTCGCCTCAGCGACACACACTAAAGACACAAAAGTTTGTCTTTGTGTTCTCAAATCTCAGCATCTGAGGGGACGCAGTGCCTTTTTTTGCTCTTTCTCCTCCATTATTCTCCTCTAGGATAGAGGGTCGTCATTTTTCCAAAGAGCCCGTCGGACGGAGGGCTTATTTTTGTTAAACCCGAGTTTAATTAGCAATGCTTAAAAACACTAATGAGCCCCTTTTGGTGCAGCCGAAGGGTCTCGTGTGCTCGCCCTGTAAAAATAATGCAGACATGTCAGTTTAATGACGCCCCGGTAACTGACATGTGACCCCGTTTTGGGAAGTGCCGGTACATCCGCCGGGACCGAGCTCCTCTTATTCTCTGCTACTGGCTTACCAATTTCAGACGGAATGGTTTTGAGAAGCCGTTCCCACTAAATCTATTTTTAGAGCGTGGTGCTTCGCAGTCCACAGCGAGGACCACTCACAGAGGAGCCGACAGATGGACGCGCCCCCCCCCGGTGAAGCTGGTTCTTGCCACTGGTCGAGTTTCTAGTGGGTCTCCCTCGCTCCCACGTCCATGAAGGAAACACACAATTCATGGAGGGGGACGTGGAGGGGGACGTGGAGGGGACGTGGAGGGGACGAGGTCCGAGCCCACTCTCTCTCTGGTCGGTGAGAGCAGAGCGAAGACAAAAACAAAAGTCGGCGGGGGCCGCGGCGGCTGTGGCGGGACTTGGCGGTCCGTGGTCAGCGTTGGCCTGCGCAGACGAGGCGTCTGGGGGGGTGATTTAGGTTCGTCCGCTTCCTCTGGCGGAGAATCACAAATCTCTGTGCTGGCTCTCGTTCCTCTTTGGCTCCAAACCGTCTTCCTACTGCCCTTTTATTTTCTTCTCTGTTTGACTGTTTTTAAGTTGCTCTCTTTATGCTCGGTTGACTTTAATTCGATTAGCTCAACCCGAAAAAACCTCTTGGCGTGCCGAGCGGAAGGAGGGAAGTCGGGGTTGTGTTGACCTGAGACGACCCCAGAGGTCAGACCTCTTTTTGGACTGAGACACCTAAAGATGTTGCCCCTCACCGCTTCATACCCGCCTGCCTTATGTCCCCCTCTTCATTTCCTCGTTCTTCATTTCCCCTGCTCACTTTTTCTTTTTCTCTTTTTTCTCCTTTCAAGCTTTTTACGACGGAGCTTTAAGGCTTAGTTAGCACTCTAGTTCTGTCAATTATTTTCCTTTAAAAAAAATACAATGCACTTTTTGCATTTTGGAGTGTTGAATCTGAATAATTACTGGGATTTGTATCAAATTGAATAAGCGTATGAAAAATGATATCATGGCTCTTGGTTACAGTGGTACAGGAAGGTCTTTCTCTCATGAACAGCAACAGGGGTTTGAACCAACCAGTGAACCTCAAGGGATTCTACTCGGTTCCCCATTTAGGTCTCAGGCCTGACGTGTCGACTAGCGCCACCTGCTGATGCCCAAAGATGCCCTTTTATCATTGCTGTGAAAAGCTGTAACTAATCACCACACTGTCATGTTCAGGGTGAGACAAGGTCGTACGGCGCGATGGGAGCGTCCGTCTGATGAAACGTCTCCCTCCTTTCAAATTGTGAGCTTCGTATCTTGGCTGTGATGTCACGTCTTTGCTAGCGTGTGCCGGCGTCAAACTGTCGTGCACGCGGCGGCTCGCGTGCGTAAAAGTGTCCGGCGGAATGTGGGAGTGTGACAAATGACCGAACCTGCTGCCGCCCGGCCGCTGGCTCTGTGGGCAGCGGATTGATTGGCGCCTCTCTGCTGGGGAGTCGCAACTGATTTCTATGGATTTTCTCCCTGACATAAAAATATGTGTAGCAGACGGTGGCTGGTTTTGCTAAAAGAGCATTCAATGATATGAGACTTAGTTTATTAGGATTAATAACCGCGTTTTCCGCCCATCATTCAGGAATAACTTTGTTTATTTGATCTAGTGGAGATCACTGTGTGAACCAGCACATCACATTTCAGAATAGTGGCCTTGTGTTTGCCAAACGAAGTGCTCTCATTGTAGCACATTATATTTAATGAATTAATTTTTTAGAACAATTTTGCCGGTTTATGGCCGGCGCAGACCAGTTATTGTAAGAACCTGGTTAAAGAATCACCAGTGTGTGAACCTTTCACTCCCTCTTATCCACCATGATCTCCATGTGGCACCACATCTGTTGCACACTAATCCAGATGTTTGGCAGTAACTCCACTGATCACTAACTTTGAGCCTCTACTTTGTCTTTCCATCAGGTCTTTCTTGGATCACAAACATCACTGCACAGCCAAAGGTGAGACTTCTTTCCCATTGGGGTTGTCACTTTTCTTTTTCTTTCTCTTTATCCAACCCGACCCAATTGTGTCTCAAAATAGACACTTGGTCGACCGTCCAGTCAACAAAACGCACACAATGACTAATTCAGCCACAATCATCATCATTTTGAGCATTAGAGGGCAGTTGGGGGCAAAAGAAGGAAAAGGTGTTGCTCGAATGTGGTTTAGCGTCATTACAAGAGATCACCACTAGAGGTGAGCAGAGCCTCTCTGAGAGGCCTCGCACCGTTCCACTCCTGGTGAGGTAACCAAGGCAACGCAAGCACAAGAGATAGTTATTTCAGCATGGTTTTACATTTCGGCATTACATGGTGACCTTATCTATTTGTATGAGCAGGTGTGTTTTTGTGTGTGCGTGTTTGTGTGTGTGCGTGCATGTTGCGGTTGTATTGAGCGCTCACGCGCCGCTCCGACACGTGCGATGCTTTGAGAGGGGGACCAGGTCGGTGCAGGGTTCGATTCCGATCCCAACCATCACTCCTCCGCCAGTCTCCTCCCTCTTTTCCCTTTTTCTTTTTACACTCACCCCCTCGCTGACTACTGATAGGGCGAACATGGAGTCAGCGGAGGAGAGAGACGGCGAGAGGGAGGGAGGGAGGGAGGAGGGGAGTGATAACTTGGATACACGGGGAGGACAGATGTAGGAACAAAGAAGCGGTGGAGGTGTGTGGTCGTCCCGGGTAGCCCATGTGTGCAGGCTGAGCTCCCCGTCAGGTGCACGCGTTGCTCGTTCGGCGGTCTCCTCGCGGCGGCATGGCGCCTCTCACCAGCGGAGCGCACAGCCCGGGCTCCTACTACTGCCTGATCCGACGCAGGTTCAAGAGGAGGCGCAAGAAACGCTCCGAACGCAAAGGTAACCCGTCTCAGGGACAGGGAGGCTCGGATCAACTTTTGATGTTTATCGGCTGGAAGGAGACGAGTGAGCGCTCTCTCCTTTTTAGACAGTTTGGCCTCGCTTGTCTGGGAAAGTTTGAAGTTCATTCTGCAGCAGACTGATCAACGTCTCGTAGTCAAAATGCTATGAATTGTTCTGTTTGATCTGTTTTGTTTTGAGTTATTTTGAGACAATTTTTTATTTTGTCTAAAATTGTTTTAGGGCATGTAGAGTATTTGCTACAAAAGAAAACCAAATATAATTTCAATGAGAGAAAATGTCCATATTTAATCATATATTCATCACCCATAGAAACATAAATTCTATACAGCTTTATTACTAATATTATTGAACATATGGATTTTATTTTCGCGTATTATTGTGTTTATTATAAGTTTTACTCTTATGTTTACTATGTCTAATGTAAACAATCATCAACAATTATGCCGCATGTGCTGTTATCTAAGGATGCAACGCGAGTAGAACTACTCGTAGTAGCATCTGTATTAAATCACAACTGTCAATCAATTCAGGACAAAGGCGCTTACAAATGAGTGTTTGTATTTGTGCCACATGTTTCCGTTCTGTATTCGGTGGCCGATGGAAGCCGCGGCTCTAAAGAAAACAAGTCCGAGGTAAACATGATGTGTTTGGATTGAAGCCACGCCGCTGTGTGTATTTGTTTAAAGATCCCAAACGTTCATCCACGGAGGACTGTCTCTCCCTCACTCCCCCCCTCCCCACCTACCTAGCGTGAGACAGGTGTGTTTCTCTGTGTAATTGAAGTCGGGTGACCGGGTCCCGCCGATCTTCTCTCCCCCCGAGTCAGCTGCTCTGCTCCGGGGATTAGCCCGACCGCCAAAGTAGTAATTACTCAGGTGGCCACAGCTCACTGGCGGTATTAGCCGTGTCTCAGCGCCCCGCCATCCTCCAAACCCACCTTGTCCCCCCCCACCCTCCACTCCTCGTTGAGCCGCGTCCATTCATCCCAAGCAAATCCACACCTCTGCTGATGCTGCGTTTTGGCCCACCCCCCGCCCCCTCCGCCACCCACATCTCGCCTCACCAGAGCCATCGCTCAGCAACCGACTACGTCCATCAGCATACACACGTCTGATTTTGGCCTTTCACTCTCCTCGTATCGCCTCTGGAACGAAGGTGGCACTTTCTTTTCTGCCTCACCGAGAGAAACGATGACTAAGCGGGCCTTTGGCCGCTCCCCTCGCTGATGGCTTTATTGCCCCTCCCGCCGGAAGCCCTCCTGATAAGTTGCATAGTGCTCCAGCTTTAGGGCCCATCGGGTTAGCAGTTAGCAGCTAGCCGCGGCGACGAGGTCACACGCTTACTTAAGACAATCCTAGCGGGCCACGGAGCCGAAGAAAAGGTCTTTGCTCACTCGGCCGTCGGTGAGGTCACAGACTCGCTGGTCCTTTACAGTAAGTGCAGATTAGTGTCCAGGGGCGGCTGTTTCAGTTGGGTTCCTTATAAGAACACTGCTTTAATGGGCCCTTCTGAGACAGCAACTCTGCCCCACTGATGGATGGAAGGCTGCATTCATTCAGCGCAGTGTGTGCACATGTGGAATCACACATTTGAACACAGAGAGAGCAGCAGAACAGGTGTTTGCATCAACATGGGGTGGCGGTGGGCCGTGGTTTGGCTCGGCTGCAGAGGGGGCCGGGTGGGCTCGGGGGAACTATGCCAGCTGGAGGCTTGGCTGTATCACGTTAGGTTGACTGGGTCTCTCCCCTTTAAACAACACAGTGGCGATCCGGCAAGAGAAAAAGGGTGGACGGAGAAATGGTTGATCTATTGTGCCATTATCAATAAAGAAAGCATTCCTGAACCGCAAGAAGTATGTGTGTCCGCCTCCTTAAGCCCACAAGAACCCATCGGTAACCACACTCACCACATGTGGTAAATTAGATGAGTGCAGCTATGCAGGGAATTGTGCAATGTCCCCTAACTAATGAGATGGATGAAAGTGTACTTGGTCCTGTCCTGACAGTAACGTTTGCTGTACAGATGTGCTGGGATGTTGTATCGCTGTGGGCCTCGCACTGGTTCCCTCATCAAAATTGCCAGTGGGGTCTCGGGGTCTTGTTTGCGAGTGAGGGGAAGATGGAGTGTGATATTGGCCGGAGAATAGGAGCAGTAGTGTTGCACTCGCTTTACCAGAAAAAGAGCTGAGCCGGAGGGCAAAGCTCTCGATCTCGGTTCCCACCCTCAGCTATGGTCATGAAGGATGGGCCGTGACCAAAAGAACTAGGTCACGGGTACAAGCGGCCGAAATGGGTTTCCTCCGGCTGGCGTCTCCCTTAGAGACAGGGTGAGGAGCTCGGAGTAGAGCCGCTGCTCCTTTGCGCGGGAAGGAGCCCGTTGAGGTGGTTTGGTAAGGGTGCTCCCCGGGCGGCTCCCTAGGGAGGTGTTCCAGGCACAGCCAGCTGGGAGGAGACTAGGTGGACAGAGTATATCTCGATTACTCATCTTAAACGGTACGTAAGGATTAAAAACGGCTTATTTCTATTAAGGACCCTGCGTCTGTTTTATTAATGTTTCAGTAGTTCTACTGTCTGCTGCTGGAAGAGGTTCTGACTCATCGCAAACATTACTGCTGAGCTATGTTGGCATTGGATAAGAATATTGTTTATTAATGACATTTTAATATGCATTGTCCTAATATTTTGTCGCACTGCCCTTTTCATCTTTTTCAAGTTATGTATTTAGTCATACCTAAATAAAATGATAATTGTATTCTTACATGGCTCATATTACATTTTATATATATATATATTATAATTATATATATATATTATAATTATATATATATATATATATATATATATATATATTATAATTATATATATATTATAATTATATATATATATATATATATATATATTATAATTATATATATATTATAATTATATATATATATATATATATTATAATTATATATATATATATATAGTGAGATGCTTGTGTTATACCTTTCCTATGCAGTTTTACGGAATTAGCATAGAGAGCACAGTGACTTTCAAAATGCTGAACTTAAGCATTTCTTCCACATTCTTGAAGGCACCTCTCATAAATGTGCCAAGCCATGACACTCAAAGACGATGCTCGCCAATGGGCCGTGTATGAAATATGGAAAATGAGGGGAACAGAGGCTTTTTCTGCCGTGCCAGCAAATTCTCCAAAATGAGCTTTTGTAACTTGGAGGGGGGCGGGGGACTGGGGGGGGGGGGATCTGCACCGTCTGGAGCTCCCAATCCATCGTCGTGGAAGCGACTTTCCCAACAACGTTTCTGCCTTTCAGCGGTCCTTACATCCTTCGGCCCTCTCACAACCGCTTCCTTTCCTCCCGTTCTTCCAAACCACCTTCCTTCTGTTACTCCTCGGACTGTTCTCATGTTCATACACACAAGGATTGAGTCACTGAAAAACAATTTTGAACCTACTTGGAACAATCTTTCACATAACGGCACGTGCAGCTTCTTAATTGATTTCGCCGTTTCCTATTTGAGTATTCGAAGGAACCGTATGCAGACGCATAACAAGATTTACAGCCTCGGGAAAGGCAAAAAAAAAAAAAGCTCAGCCAGACCGATTAACGTTTGACAACAGACACAATGGAAACGAAAGAGCAGACACGGTCCCATTCATTTACCCAGCGACGGCTGATTATGTGCAGCGCTTTATTTAGTGGCACGGCGGCGCTCCGTCACCGTAGGAAATGAGCTGTGTCCGCCCGTCTCTGTGTAATTAGCCTTGATTAGCACGCCGGTATTGACTGTAACAGACTGATGGGGGGGGGACCATTTGTATCTGGCGAACAGAGACCCTTCATGGGTCGGCTGAGGGGAATCTTTCGTGGTAACGGAACCAGACGGCGCGTCATATCTGTAATGTAATAATATAACATCCATTCTCCCATAACAAATGTGAACCGTCGTCGGCAGGTTTGTCTCAAACTTTCCAATCTCCCCACAGAAACCTGCACACAGCTTCAGCCCCCACTTTGTCTTGCGCAGCACGCTGCACCCTCCCACCACCTCTGACATCCGTCCTCTCAGGGTGTGT